AAGTCAGTTTGTGAAATCACCCAGTCCCCCATAGCTCTCCGCCTCCACCACCCCAAATCACATGTTCAATAAGGAGAAAATGTAAGACCAATCAAAATCAGCCACATCACTATTCATTTGTTATCTTACCCCTGCACTCCACAAATTGATGCTATTTAAAGTGTGTTGTATTAGCCAGTTATTGAGTCACTGAGAACAAACTTATGCGCTTCCTTGTTTTCTTTAAATGTCTAATGCGAAAACGGCCCATTTACTTTTGATTTGAAAGGATCACAGTGCGACGTTTTGCTCCATATAATTATTGCATCATCAGCCCTCTTCTTCCAACCATAACCAATGGGTTTGTGAGATGGCCAAGTTATGAGGAAGGTTCGGTCATGAAACTGAAATGCGGTTTTCTTACTCACGCTATAATGAATATTNTTTAACTTGTTATGTAACACCCAAAATCACCTTCTTCATTGCCATTTTTTAAATTAAGAATCAAGGAGCTGGGTTTTCTCTTGAATCCGATTAGGATGATTGTGAAATGCAAACAACGGTGGACGGTTTGATGCGTACATGACCTTGTATTCAGCTCAAGGCATTTGTTGTTTAACTGGTGTGGGAAGTATAGATAGGAATAGCGTGTGAGGATAAATTCCAGCGTGGACAATCGAGTCATTTCAATTATGTACCCAGAATGTGATGCACTGTTTACATAGTCAGATTGCAAACATCGTTAGCCTCCTGCTCTCTTCCAAATAAACCATAGACTGACATGGAGAACTTGAACAGTAACTTAAGTGTAAAGGCGCACTAGTTCGGAGGGCTTGAGTACTTTGGGTAAAGCAGTCGCAAAGAGGATTCTCTATTCAAATAAATGATAGCCTATGGTGTACATTACCGCACATTGTCTACCATGTTGCAGTCAGCTAGGAGAGCACTGCGTAGGCCTTTGTGGAAGCCGTATCACGTTGCGTATGCCAAAATGGATATGACCTTGATGTGAGATGAAAAGGATCTTCTGTACAAACAGTGAATTCTGGAGAGCTTAAATAATTGTCTAACAGTCACCATTAAAGGGTTATACCTTTCTTGGTTGGGCGATAGGTCCATATGAAATTCGAAGTGTCTTGCAGGCTTGTTCATTGGGCCAAAAGGTCGACCAGAATTATTGAGTGATAAATCAGTCAATAAAAAATATAATGATTTTGCACCCATTTCGACGGTCTTGGTCGAATTGGGTGTACCTAAAAATAGCTCAAAGGAACATCCATTTGTGAAAATATTACTGTTGATATCTGGGAGAGTTGGATCGGTTGGCTTATTCAAGTAAACTCACATTTTATAGGAGGTCGATCGATCACTTTTGAGGTTCATTAACGGAAGAATTTAGTCGGATTTACGCAAGCTGGATGTTCATGAATATGGAAGATGTAAAAGTGCCAGAGAGGGACATACGGGGTAAAGTGGAAGTTACATTCTGAATAATAATGTCGATCGAGATGGAGTTTTCGGGAGCAGCAGTCATCATAAGAGGCTGAAGCTTCTTTCATTTTTCTCAAAATCTGTTAAGGATTTTATCGATTTTCAGAAAAAAAAGAGTGTTAGCGAAACACCTACGAGGTTAGGTCTGCAGACAATATTGCCCGCAGAACTTAGTGGAACTGAATGAGTTTCACAAACCGTGAATCGGGTCACGTCTTCCTAAATACCAGTTTGTTTTTGCAATCAGAAGAAGAAATTACACGATACAAGAAATTATCGCTTATTTATTCACTTTATTTCCTGGTGTACAATCTGCTTACCCACCGGAGGTCATTGTACTCTTTTAAGGTAAAGAGACGACTCTTATCGGGATGAAAAGTGCTTGGCGCAGGGACACTGATCGTGTCACATTGTGACGTTTTCACATGGCTTGCGCTCTCGGAACCAATCTGGGTAGTCACAAAGACCATTTTGCTTGTCCGGATTTCTTCAACCAGATGGAGGATGCAGCTTTTAAGAAACCTTTCCAATCATCATTTTCCTTGGGCAAA